GTGTATATATATATATATATATGTGTGTGTGTGTGTGTGTGTGTGTGTGTCACTTTTATTTTTACACACCCTCTATCTCTGATATTGAGCACTTTATTCCATAAATATAGCACACCTTAAGACTATATTTCTTTATATATATATATATATATTAACACAAAGAACTAAGTAACTAACGAAGGAGTATAATTACCATGTCAAAACGGAGAAAGTGCTCAATACCGCAATGTCAGAGCATTAAATTTATCGGAAATAGCCGGTCTACATCCGTCCGACGATGACTGACACTTTTTTTTTAAATTCGAAATGTACAAATTATGTTTGTATCCAGGACGTTGTCCCTCGCCTAACCCTAACTCTAACCATTTACTTTTACTTTTAATCTTTTTATAATTATGTATGTTGGCTTGAGATATGAATATATCTTTCAGGGATGGAGATAATGGGCGCAGATATATATTTTGATAAAATTCAATTTCGAGAATTTTCCGTCTACGACATTGAATTTCTCTTTTAATAAGTGCGGCGTTCTTAGATCAAAGTTGAGGTTGAATTTGTTTCTACGTATTACTAATGCATTTGATAAATTGTATTTTATAAAATTCTTTTCATGGACATAGATAGGTTTTTATGCAAGTTTCCCCAATATATTGTGAAGAGCAGTTGTGACAGTTTATTTCATATATACCTGCTTCAAACATATTATTGTGATGGGCATTTCCTCAACATAATTAGCTTTCGTTTATTAGACATTAAATGACGTCACTTTACATCGTCCGTAATTTACCTAGACTTTTCAGTTGCGTCTCTCAAATTTAAAAAAAATTGAAAAGCCAACAATATTTTTATTAAATCAGCAAAGCTAAACAATAATTAAATCAGCAAAGCTAAATCTTATGATTTCTAGCCAGTGAAATTCGAGATCTACTTCAGTCTACCTGCACCTATTTTATTTTGTTTATTCCATACATGATTCAATTTATTTAAGTGTATTAATTTTTGAAGGGATAAGTGTATATTTTGGCTTGCGATCATCTTTTGTTAGCCTGCACAGTCTGACCAAAATTTAGACTTATTTGTACATATAATTCGCTATATTTCTGTCGTCCAGGGTATGAGGATAAACTACATTCGGCAGCAAGGTCTCTGATCGGAAGGTTTGGAGGAGTGTGGAACCACCTCTTAAGTGCTGTTGTTTCCAGGTATACCTTGATCCGGGGTGGTACCACCTGCTAAGGTACCAGCTATGGGCAAATAGTTAACCGCCGAAATGGGGTCAAACATTATGAAAGTATAAAAAGAAAAATTGCCATCAATATATTATTGGAAGAAGAAGAGAAAAATTACCAGCAATACATGTTTGAAAAAAGACCATGGCTCACCACAGCTTCCTGTCTTTTGTAGATTTGAGTAAGTTTGTATTTTTGCTATCACCGACCATTTATACAAACTCTTTACGCGAGATACTCACTGCTTTCCCCTGTTACCTTCAAAACGTCTTGTGAGTGCTAAATTCTCCAATCCCTCTTTCCTTCTTATTCATCCCAGAAATTGCAATGGTCTCTTCTGATTCAGAATATAAGGGTCTTTTTATTTTCATTTTTCTAAAAACATGGTCGTTGCTCACATGTTCAGTTCATGGAATTCTCAAGAGCCTTTTCTAGAACTATATTTCTGTTGCCTAAAGTCTCTTCTTCTTATGTGTGGAGATTGTCCATAATTCACTACCATGCAAGAGGACTGATATTACATAACATTTCAGCACCCTTTTCTTTGTTCCTAAGAAAGATAACCTGTTTTTTAATACTAAAGACGTAACGACTAAGTATATTCCTACTAAGAAAAACTTATGAACCCGCCAATAATGTCTTTGCTAATGGCTTCTAAAAGACGAAAGTGCTCAGTAGACATTTGATAATTTCTGTTTAAACTCTCAGTGGAAAGTAGAAAATAGTCCGAATCGATATATATATATATATATATATATATATATATATATATATATATATATACTAGCAGTATAACCTCTTTGACTGGGTCTTTCATTACAGGGAATTTTTGCCGTTCAATTGGAGCAGTTTAAGTTTAAAGTATCATCCCACATAAAATCAATATTAGTAACAAGATTTAGGTGCAACTGAGGCATATCTCCAAACGGGGAATTAACAATGTGAATGGGAGAGTGTACCCTTAAAAGGGAACTGTATAATAATCAATAATATTATTGTAATAATTTAAACTATTTATTTTTAATAAAGTTTTTATGGAAGATATATACCCAAGAACAGATAGTAAATAGTAAAACGTTGCTGATAGTTATAATGGACAGGAAGTAGTGGAGAGCCATTATCGCCAACAATTTGGACTCAAAACCCGAACTGTAGAATTACTTATCAAACAAAAAAAATTCACCGAAATCGGATGAAAACTGTCGAAATACATAAACAACATCCAACACACACACACACACCGATGCACACACATTTGGAGAATTATATATATATATATATATATATATATATATATATATATATATATATATATATATATATATATATATATATATATAAGCAAATATATGGATATAAATCCGACATATGAAGAAAAATATATACGGAAAAAACAAACAAAAATCCTTATATACAATTTATACTGTTTTAATGTTAATATGTCAACATCGGACGTTTCGGTCTAATAAACCATCTTCAGGACATATTCATAAATTATAACATTATCAATACGACATGACAAAGACGATGTACATAAGAACAAGACTTATCCAAACAAATAACTGAAAGTTTTATAAGATCAGCGCCCCGTTTAAAACATGGTCACGTTGTCGTCACGTGGGCGACGCTGTGAAAACGTATTCTTAAAATTTGAGTATTTTTAATGGAAAATGAAAAGAATTCTATTTTGATCTTTCATTTATCTGTTTGGATAAGTCTTGTTTTTATGTACATCGTCTTTGTCATGTTGTCTTGATAATGTTATAATTTATGAATATGTCCTGAAGATGGTTTATTAGACCGAAACGTCTGACGTTGACATATTAACATTAAAACAGTATAAATTGTATATAAGGATTTTGTTTGTTTTTTCCGTATATATTTTTCTTCATATATATATATATATATATATATATATATATATATATATGAAGACAAGACAGAGATAATAAGCTTTATCCGTTATCCCCAGAGGAATATCCAACAACGTACCTTATGATTTACATTCTGTGGAGATAGACGGGAAGCTTGTAACTACTGATTCTTTCTAATTTTCTGACGCTATCATGTATTTGCTTTCTGATACGAATTCCAGGAATAATAAAAGACAGCATAGGACGGTGGTCGTCGCCTTACAGGGTGAGGTGAAGAGGGTCAGATGTGTTTCTCTTGCTGCTGTTGCTTGGTTGTGATCCGAACGCTTGACACCTTCGAGTCTGTTCACGAACGGTTCAATCTCCCTCGTGGGTCCTCTCTACAAGTGAATCGTAAGCGTGACATGACAACTCTCCGGAGAGACACCAAATGCATTCTATTGATAGACAGAAGAAAATAATGAAGGCAGAGGGATCACAAAAATCATATGCGGTTATTTAAAAAGAAAACGTAATGGGGATATAACAAGAAAATTGACAAATAAATATATATATATATATATATATATATATATATATATATATATATATATATATATATATATATATATATATATATATATATGCAATTTTTACATATATTATTTATATATTATATATGCGTGGTACTTATTGGAAAGCGCTCAATATCAGTGATAGAGCTAACATATTTAGTTGCATTGATGTGTGACCCTGGGTTTCACGCCCTTGTGATCGTATATATATATATATATATATATATATATATATATATATATATATATATATATATATATGGTGAAAAGGACAAAACAAAAACTAGCAGGTGTTCAAAACGATATTTAGTTTTTAGATGGCATGCAAAACCTATTACACCGTCTCCCCCACCTGCCAAAAATCGTCAAAATATATCCCCCGAGTTTTCTAAAGTAAATTAAGCTTAAGTACTGTAAATGGAATAAGCTTTTTTTTTTCTTAGTAGTAATGGAAGGAAACTTTTCCTGGAATCATATATAGCACAATGTCCGACGTGGTCTAATGTATATTCCCTCGGAATGAGAAATCGGAAAGGCGTGATTCCATCTTTGGGAAAGGCACGGATCCATTTCTTCTTCCCCGAGATAAACAAGAGGACAAACTAGGTCCTAGAGCCTTGGTTGGCAACCAATCTACCGCAGAAAGAAACGGCAGTCTACTGCGGGAGGTCCTCCTGTCTAATAAGTCATTAACAGAAATAGACATGATTTCCCAATCGTGTTTCACGTATGGCACTTAACTGACTGATACGGTACAATGCTGAACTTCGTCTGGCTGAACGCCTTTAGAATTGGAGCGCGCGGTACGTTTTGTTTTGCACCCATTACTTTACAGTCTTTTTATGCTGTCTCCCTTCAAGACATGGGCGATCACAGCTCTCCACAACTTCCAGTTCTTTGTCTTTTGTTAGCATGTTTGTCAGTTTTTGTTCTGACATCCATGTACACATGTTTTTCAGTAGATTAATCGTTGTTTTCCTCTGGCTTTCAATGTATACTGTTAGTGTCAGATTCTCCTACCCTCGTCCCTAGCATGTGTCACAGAAATCTCAACTATCTTTTTCTGTTTTTAAGTATAAGTGTCAATTTCTTTGAAAGAATATATAGAAAGAAAACAGGAACAGAAAAAGAAAAGGAAGGAAGAAAAAGAAAAAAAAAAGAAAGAAAGAAAAGAAAAAAAACACATACTCACATATCAGGAGCATTTTGCACTTTAGTATTAAATCTAACGATTGCGCGCAAAGGTAAATAAGAACAGGAAGTGACCGTATCGTCCTTTGTCACTTCCTGGCCGCCCTTCCTCCCTGACTCCTACTCGAACTGCATTCATCTTCCTTTCTTACTCTCATTTGCTATGTGAATTGTATGCAGGAGACAGAAAGAGAAAGAGATAAGGAAAGACAGACAGACAGACAGACAGCAAAAGAGAGAGAGAGACAGAAAAAGACAGAGAGGCAGACAGAAAGAGAGAGGGAGTGATAGAAAAAGAAATAAATAGACACAAAAAAGAGAGAGAAAGAAAGAAACAGATAGAAAGAGAGAGACAGAAAAAGAGAGACACAAAGAAAGAGAGAGACAGGCAGACAGAAAAAGAGAAAATAAGAGAGAGAAAGACAGAAAAAGAAAGAGAGAGGCAGAAAAGGAGCAGACAGAAAGAGAGAGGCAGCTAAAGAAAGAGACAGATAGAAAGAGAGAGACAAAAAAGAGAGAGGCGGAAAAAGAGAAAGAAAGACGAACAGAAAGAGAGAGAATAAGAGAAAGAGAGACAGAGAAAGTGAGAGACAGAAAAAGAAAGAGACAGATTGAAAGAGAGAGACAGAAAAAGTGATAAACAGAGAAACAAAAAGAGGGACAGGCAGAAAGAGAGACAGACAGACAGACAGAAAGAGAATAAAATAAAGAGTGAGACAAAGAGAGAGAGAAAGAGATAGAGAGACGGATGGAAAGAGAGAGATGGGTGAGAAATGAGAAGATGTCGGAAAGACAGCACTTGTCAGGTCGTTGAAGCAATACCGTAAAATGACGGTCGTCAGTCGTTAAATTAATAAAACCAAGTGTATTTTCTTGCATGCCTCGTGTCATTCACAAGGGCAAAAAGATAAGCGCGGCCATGTCGCCTATCATTCGCTTCAATCAAATAAGATTGTCTTCCACTTTACAACGAATACGACAATAACATCAATAATGACGATGAAAATAATGACAAAATGGTCGGCGAAAAGAAACAGCATTGAATTAGTTTAGAGGAAAATCAAAAGAAGGGGACCTGTTATGTTGTGGATGTAGTTACGCTAATATACAACAAGGTGAAGACGAAAGAGATCATAATATTATAAAGCCACTAGGACTTTGTTTAGCAACTTTCCTTTCATTACAGTTCGACCAAGGCCCAAGAGCAACTCAAAGTAGAGGGTTAATGAAGCGATAAATGTAGGAGGTAAATAGATACATTTTATGAGACTATGAGGTAAAAATAGCGGTTAAACCTAGTGAAGAGATTAAGATTGTAATCGTCGGGAAGGAAGCTTCTTTTGAGTGTGTTCCATAGAGTAGATGTTCTTGGGAAGAAGATGTCCAAGTGAAACTTCCTCCTTACTAATGGAATACGAAAGTAATGAGGTTGGTTAGAACATTTGCCATGGAAATAGCGATAGAGTAGCGGGGGGGGATCGCGACGTTTCGTCTGTGAGAAATGGGTTGTAGGGTGCAAAACAATTCATCGCCCCGCGTAGAACATATTGAAGGAAGGGGTTGCAGAGTGAAACAGCGTGTAACCTACCTAATGAGTATGCCTCAATGGAGGGCAACGTGACAAGGAGTTGACCATAGTCAAGATCATCAAGTCAATGCGAAAGATCCTTCCCTTTAGCTACATAGTATGTGTTTCCATAGGGCTACAGATAGTTTTGAATTCAGAGTCTTTCTTCTTCTAGACCGGTTGCCACCCAAAGCTATAGAACCCAGTCTGTCCTACTACTTACCCCTAGCTGGGGAGGAGGAGAAGATCTGAAATTTTAAAGAGTCAACAACAGATAGGAAGTTGCGTAGTGCCACAATCGTTCTCCGGCTGAGTGTTTATAAAAGAAAGAAGGAAATACATGAGTTTAAACTGTCTTATAAGTAAATGGAGCAAGCTGCCCCAAGTGGATATAAAAACATGGAAAACAGAATAGATGTGGTCATAGATTGGGATTTATGAAAACGATGTTGGTTTAAGTCTATGAACAAGGACGTGACGTTTTCATTATAAATGAAAACTTGTTAAATTCTATGATCACTTAAACCAAATATGCCCACGTTAGGTTGATGAACAAGGTGACTGATTTTTTGATTTAGTCTATATTTCTGTGATGAGGTATTATGTACATTATTTACATTATTCGGAATATTGTCCTCATCTTTGTCACCATATTTATCACAACGTTTCGGCCTATGTACGCTCCGGCCTTCTTCAGGTGGATGGAATGTATATCAGAGAAAATACAAAGGATCTGCGGTCCATATAATATCAGGACAACCTTCAGAAGATTGACGACACTTCGCAGATATCTCCCCCGAGTAAGACCCCCCCATAGAGGAGAACATGCCTAAAGACTGTGTGTACACTATCCCCTGCAGCTGCGAAAAGGAATATAAAGGAGAGACAGGCCGCCCCCTCAAGGTAAGGCTTCAAGAACACCAGAAAGCTGTAACACGATGGGAAGTAGAAAAATCAGGTATGGCTGACCACATATGGAGAGAGAAGGAAGATCACCGCCCCCTGTGGGATCAGGTTGAAATCATAGACAAGGAACACCATTGGAAAATTCGTAAACTTAAGGAATCAACACATATGCTAGGCCACAAAAATCTCCTGAGCCGACCAAGCATAGAAATAAATACAATATGGGAGCCAGTAATAAGGAGTGCCAGAGAAAAGCAATGATAACAAGTTGCAATATGAGCTCTAGTAAAACATGCAATGATAACAGCAAAATTGTAATATGAGCACTGTTAAAAATTGTTGCTGAAGACATTAGGTTTATAATACCCAGAAATTCATACATAGCTGTCAAGGACACATGGCACAGTGGATAAAGGCGTTGGTTAAATCCAGTGACAGGACCGAAAGAGTGTGAGTTCAATACCCGGTTAAGGCAGTGTAGAACTTTCAGAGGGAACTTAACAGGAGATAACTGACATCCCTCAAACATGGCACGTGGAACTAGAACAGTTTACCCCCAGTTAGCGAAATAAAGGGTTCAGTTGGTCACCTGAAGAAGCGTACATCGGCCGAAACGTTGTGATCAATATGACGACAAAGATGAGGAAAATAGTCTGAATAATGATTTTTTTGATATGATGTTTTTAACGGTATAACAACACCTTATGGGTCATTTAATGCTGAAATTTATTTTTCTTGGGTGCATTGAAGTAATAACAATATTATACGATATTCTACTTTCACAGTTTCATGGTAGATGAAACTCAGCTTTTTTGCATGTACATGTTTGTACGGACGTAATTACATACGTCATATGTGTGTCTTATGTTTTGATGAAATTATATTTTGGAATACAGTTTAATTTCTTTATGTAATTGTAGGAATTACATGGATTAATGTCATGGAAGTGTTCTTTCATGTTGGGTGTTTGGTTGGACGATTTTGTTTAGCGGCATATCACTCTCACTGTTGAAACTATTAAATGTAGCCGCCTCTTCTACTCCAATAGCTTCATATCTCGCACCTCTCGCCTGTGGAACTCCCTTCACTATTCCTGTTTCCCTGAGAGCTATAATCTCCAACTATTCAAAGGTAATGTCAATCGACATCTCCAGTTGCCTTGATCTATCCACTATCCTTCTCCTCGTCTTTTTCTCTAGCACTCCTATCTGCTCTCGCTCCAAATCTTCTGTAACCCCTTGCATACTAGTGGCTTCCCACTTTGCTTGGGGTAAATCGATTAAAAAACATTGTATGCTTTCAACTACAGATTAAATGTATTGTTGGTAAGGTGATCCTTAAGGATTGTCTTGATTGTTGGTCATTTTGCTATAAAATGTATTGTTGGTCATTTTACTATAAAATTTCATTGTTGGTAATTTTACTCAAAATATATATTGGTGGTAATTTTTACTATAAAAATATATATTTATACCTTCATAGTATCTTAAGTGAATCGATTTACACGTTCTATCCAATTTGGTTGTTGCTGCTGATGTGGTTTCTTTTATTTGGTACAGTTCATTATTTTGTGATTCTGTAGCACCCGTCCAGAAGGCTCGAAAAAGGATTTTCCTCTCTAAGATCTAAAAACTTCATTCAGCTCAAAGGCAATTTTAATCATTGATCTGAGAAAACGGTTATATAGAGTTTAAACATTTCTGAACGGATTATATCAAAGGTAGTATTTCGAATGTCGATGTTCAAGCAGGCAAGCCCTTTTTAGTTGGTCGTTTTACGTAATACAATCTTCAACTACGCCCCCCTTTCTATCTGGCTTTGTGTTGTGCAAAGATAAGCATAGTAAATATCAATAACTGGCCTACAAAAAAGAAAGGCATCAATAATATGCCGTATCTTGAAGTGGATCAGTGCACCTGTCATTTGGTTACCAGTAGATTAATCTTTTTCCACCTGAGCCGCTATGCAAGTGCGTGCAGAGTCGGTCGCCCGGTAACCAAAGAAGTTAAAGATATGATCCACTTGTGAATAAAAGAAACGGTAATTTTCATTAAAGATTTAACGATGTAAAAGAGATATGAAAGCGTGCTGGAAGATCATATTACGGCAATCTTCCCAAAGATCAGGATGCCATGAAAATCATTATTCAAACTTACTAAGACTCGATCGCATACATACGTAAGGCACAATTTGCATTTATAATATTCTCGGCATAGTAAATTTCGATAGTCAAGGACTCAAATTCATTTTTTTTTTTTTTTAGGCTGGAGGCTGTTTTTAGGAGTCAAATACTTTCCTTCGTTCAAACTAATTATGGGATTCTTATTAGAATCGAATAGTATTTTTGTTTCTTCTTTTTCGCTGACACTGAAACAGCATTCTGATTTATTTTCTCAATAAGCAGTTTCCCGCCTTTACATTAAAGAAAATGTATAAATAAGTAACATATACATTCTCTCTCTCTTTCTTTCTTTCTATATATATATATATATATATATATATATATATATATATATATATATTATAAATTAATTGATTTAAAATATGTTTTTTTTTTCCGCTACACAGTTCTAACCATGTTTCAAAAATAGAAGCTAAAACCCGAATTTAATTTTGCAATTAAATTAAAAGCATTAGTTCCATTTCATCTTCAAGCGAATTTTGGAGTAACTTTATATATATATATATATATATATATATATATATATATATATATATATATATATATAGTTTATTTTAGGACATTACATCAAAAACATGTCAAAAGAAAGCTAAACAACTGCAGTTGTGTTTCGATGTGAATCAATGCATCTCATCAGGCCTGGTAAGATGCGTTGATTCGCATCGAATCCTGACTGCAATTGTGTAGCTTTTTGGGGACATGTGTTTGGTGTAATATCCTAAAATAAAAAATATTGCTCTCCTTTGTATCGATCCCTCGTTTAAATTATATGGCACGAACGTTAGAATTGTACTCCATTCGTTCTTCATTTTACACACACACACACACACACACACAGACACACATATATATATATATATATATATATATATATATATATATATTACAGATGGCATACATTTTGGGTCAATTAATTTTTATGAGAGACGTTTCCATATTATGGATAATCATTCTCAGACAATTGAGGAAAATCCATCAAGAAATTGTTCGAGGTTCATTTCGGAAAAAAATATGGTCTAAGCATTCAACTTTCTCAAGTCATCATCAGGATAGGTTGAATTTAGCAAAAATTTTGAAATGGTGTGACAACGTTTTTTTTTTTTTAAAATAAACTGTTAAAAGTATGTGTTGAAAGCGCGTGGACCACATTTTGGGATCTAAAGCCGTAGGATTAATGAGTGTTGTGATGTAACCAAATAGTGTTGTGACGCAGGCAAAGAGTGT